CGTAGCCATTACACTAACTGCTGGTCCCTATCCAAAGATTTTTTTTTTTTTTGAGAGATTTTCACTGTAGGGCGCGTGCGCTCGCCAGACAGACAGAGAGAGACATAGAGACAGAAAGCGAGAAATCACCCCCCAGGGCGGATGGTCACGCTGCAATCCCTTCTCCTCCATTCTCCTCTCGGGATCTTGGGCACGCACGCACAAGCGCCCGGCGTGAGTTTTAAGCCACTGGGTCCGGGACACAAACCGCGGTCGACTACGTGGGAGTCCAGCGACATAGCCATTACGCTAACTGCTGGTTCCCAAGATTTTTGATATTGGATATCTAACTTTGTTTCCTGAGTTGATTTTCTAGTTTCTTCCTATCTCTTCCTTTCATTAGAAATATATTTAAGGATTAGCCCAGCATCCTCGTGGTTACGAAAGCAGATCTCACATGGCCAACCAGGGCTGAAGTTCCAGCCCGAAAGCTTGAAAACACTTTGGGGGCATGTGAATGTGTGCCCAGTACCCTGACGGGAGAAGCGGAAGAGAAGGGATTGCAGCGCGACCACGCCCCACTGGAGAGAGCTTCCTTAGACACAATTCTTTCTCTCTCTGCAGGCATAGGCACCCTGTGGCAATCAAAAACGAATGTGTTCAGTTCTTGGTGTTTACTACACCTGGTGATTCAGATAGGCTTCCTCTCTCAGGTTTTTGAGAAACGAATGCGGCAGGACATTATCTCACCTCCTTTATTTATAAACTTCTGAACTGGGGCAACTAAGCCTCAGAAGGACTCCCAATCTTTTTAAAGCTCTTACATACCTAACAAATTTCAAGCCGACAAAATAATTTGCCCGTGTATGCATCAGAATCACCAGGGGGAGCTTTGGTTACACATGATTTTTTAGGCTTTGCCCCAGAGGCAATGAGAATCTCTGTCAAGTGGGTTTCTCAGTGATTCTAATCCTTGCAGCTAATTGAGTTAATTAAAATGGAAAATTCGACACCTTAGTTTCACTAGTCATATTCAAAATGCTCAATAGCCATATGTAACTAGTAGTTACTAGTGCAGATTAGCTCCATAATTACAGAAAGTCTACTGGACAGTACTAACCTGGAATACAGCTGACTCTTGAACAATGGCAGGGCAGAGGTTGGTGGGGCAGCCCTCTACACCTGAGGGTCCCCAATCCCCTGCTTGTGGACTAGAGGGTTGTGGAACAATGGTGGAACAGCCGTTCCATGGCTGTTGGGGCCGGACTGCAGATGGGTGCTGGTCCACAGAGCCACACAGCAGGGATTGGGCAGCAGGTGAGTGAGCAAGGGAGGCTTCATCTGTGTTTGCAGCCACTCCCCATCACTGGCATTGCCGCCTGGGCTCAGGTCAGTGTCAGTACTGGATTCTCATGGGAATGTAAACTTTATTGTTTGATTGTTTCATTGTATATCACAATGTGGTCGTGATGGAAATGGGGTGCACAATGGATGTAGTACACTTGGGTCATCCCAGGACCACCCCTTTCCCAGTCGTTGGAGGGATTGCCTTCCACAAGACTGCTCTCATGGTGCTGAGGAAAGTTGGAGACCACTGCTCTACACACTCAAAATTCTAAGTATAACTTAAAAAAAAAAAAATGTTGCCAGAAGGTGCATGCACTCAACAGTGAGAGGAAGGAAAAAAAAAATGGGAAAGTGAGAAAGCATTCCCCCATGAGGGAGGGTCACACTGCAATCCCTTCCCTTCCACTTTTTTCTTTTGGGATTTTTGGCACGCAGGTGCCTGACATGTTTTTCAAGTCACCAGGTCTAGGCATCAGCTCTGTGGGATCTAGTCCTCTTCACCACACCACCATCTTGCCCTCCAAGTGTACTTTTGACTTCCCCAAAACTTAACTACTAATAGTCTACTATTGACCTGAAGACTTAGTGGTAACAGTCAATTAACATATTTTGTATGTTAATGTATTACATACCATAAAATATACATAAAATATATTATATATTTTTATGATAAACTAAGCTAGAGAAAGGAGAATTTTTTTTTGAGAGGTTTTTGCTATAGGGCGCGTGCGCTCGCCAGACAGACAGAGAGAGACAGAGAGATAGAAAGCGAGAAATCACCCCCCGGGGGGATGGCCACACCGCAATCCCTTCTCCTCCATTCTCCTCTCGGGATCTTGGGCACGCACGCACACGCGCCCAGCATGAGCTTAAGCCACCGGGTCCGGTATGCGAACCGCGGTCGACTACATGGGAGTCCAGCAACATAGCCATTACACTAACTGCTGGTCCTGGAGAATCATTTTTAAAAGAATTATTTTTTATTTAATTTCATTTCAGTTTGACTAGAGAGGGACAGAGCAAGAGAGAGAGAGGGAAAGTGAGAAAGCAAGCCACCAGGTCCGGGTCTCAAACCATGGTCAGCCATGTGGGAGTCCAGTGCCCTTAACCATCGTGTCACCTGCCGGCCCTGAGAAAGGAAAATATTATTGAAAAAATAAAAAGTACATTTATGGTACAATGCTGTATTTTGCAATATAAATGGACCCTCACGGTTTAAACCTACCTTGTTTAGGAGTCAATGGCAGTTGAAGCCATGAGGGTGGAAGTAATTTCCTGGAGAGTGTTTAAAACTAGAAGAACAGGGATTCCCAGGATGGAATTGTTAGAACCCATATCATGAGGCAGGTAAAGACTCATCAAAGAAGATTAAGGAGGAAGGGCAGCCCAGCCTAGATGGTACAATCCACAGTGCTGGACCCCCGTGGTATGGTGGGGATCCCAGCCTGGCTGACCTAAAATGAGAATAGTATCATAGAGGGCAAGAGAAAGGAGTTTTGAGAAACGAGGTGTTGGGAATTAATGTGCAGTTTTAAAACATTAAGGTACCTGGTTCATGATGATGCAGAATGGTGTTATGTGGGAAGGGATGGCTACCCTGGCAGTTCCTCCCAGTTTGGCATTGTCCTTGGCAAATCCTCCAGTTAACCAGTTTGCCCCCCCCCCCGAAATTACTCTCATGCAAATATCACTATCATTTTTTTTTTTAAAGATTTTTGCTATAGGGTGTGTGTGCTTGCCAGAGAGTCAGAAAGAGAGACAGTGAGAAATCACCCCCGGGGGGGATGGCCATGCTGCAGTCCCTTCTCTTCTATTCTTTTGAGAGCTTGGATACACACACACACACACACACACACACGCACCTGGTGTGAATTTTAAGTCACTGGGTCTGGGACTTGAACTGTGGTTGACCACTGGGAGTCCAGGGAACGTAACCATTATGTCATCTGCTGGTCCCAAATATCATTCACTATCTTTTTTTTTTTTTTTTTGAGAGGTTTTTTCGCTAAGGCGCGTGCGCTTGCCAGACAGACAGAGAGAGACATAGAGACAGAAAGCAAGAAATCACCCCCCAGAGGGGATGGTCACGCCGCAATCCCGTCTCCTCCATTCTCCTCTCGGGATCTTGGGCACGCACGCACATGTGCCTGGCATGAGTTTCAAGCCACCGGGTCCGGGACGCGAACCGCGGTCGACTACGTGGGAGTCCAGCGACATAGCCATTACGCTAACTGCTGGTTCCCTCATTCACTATCTTTAGGGAACAAATTCTTTTTATCTACAGTCACACATATTTTCTTTGTATGCGTATGTCTATCAGATTTTAACCCAATTTCACAAATACTTTAATATAGAATATATACAGGAAAAAAAAACATTATTAATACAAATGCAACTGTTAGATGCTACTTACTCTTATTAGTGCATTCTCCTTTGTCCCTGTAGCTCTGCCTTAAAGGAAAGGCCAATTTTCGGGAGGTTATTTTGTATCAAATGAAAACAAACAGGTACTCGATCTTAATGAAGTTTCTTAACTGGCCCAGCTCGAGACATTCTCATCTTCATCAGTGTTGGCCTCTTGAACTCTTTTTTAAAGGAATACTTCCTTGGCTTAGAACTCCCTTCCTCCGTTTTTCTGAAAGGAATGAAATGTAACTTCTGTTTTCCAAGTTGCAATCCCAGTATAATTCCACTTGAGATTCTACACCCTGGTTGAGTTGTTATTGTTGTTGTTTGCTGTACGGCCTGTGTGATTGGCAGAGAGACATAGCGAAAGTGAGAAATCATCCTCCAGGGGGGATGACTACACCTCTCCTTCATTCTCTTGGGATTTTGAGCACCCATGCACATGCACCCAGCTTGAGTTTCAAGCCACTGTGCCCAGGACTCTAACTGTGGTCGACCATGTGGGAGACCAGTACCTCAACCACTATTCCACCGGTTGGCCCTCCTGATTGAATTTTGATGGTTTCCAAATAACCTTATCCAGCCACTTAGAGTCTTTTGATTGCTCATGTATCCTCAGAATTGTGTTATCTGGGGACCATCAGCGTAATGGCTATGTCACCGGACTCCCACATAGTCGAACACGGTTCGCATCTGGGACTCGGTGGCTTAAAACTCACGCCGGGCGCATGTGCGTGCGTGCCCAAGATCCCGAGAGGAGAATGGAGGAGAAGGGATTGCGGCGTGACCATCCCCCTTGGGGGTGATTTCTCTCTTTCTGTCTCTCTGTCTCTCTCTGTCTGGCGAGCACACGCACCCTATAGCGAAAACCTCTTCCAAAAAAAGAAAAAAAAAAAAAGAATTGTGTTATCCGTACGTTTTTTTACCAGTTTTACTCTTAGAGAGCAGTCTTATTTACAAGTTTCTGAGGGACACTTCATTGGAACTACCTTGTATTGCCAGTAGCTATTCAAATGTCAAGTAGAGTTACATATACTTCGAAATATGACAATTAAGAGTCGTTTAGGGGCTTGGTGTCAGTAGTTTGGATAAAGTCATGAGAATGGAACCCCAGGAGTAGACAAATGAATAGATGTTGAATTCCTTCCTTAAACATTTATGGAATGACTGGGTAAACTCTAAGTACAGACAAAATCTTTGCCCAATGTGTTAGGGTGATCTTTGCAATATGTTAGGGTGGCCTCTGTCACAGGCTGTGAAAGAATTCACAAACTCAGAGAAAAAGTAGAAAGAAAAGAATTTGTTCATTTTCTAAGAGAGAGAAAGGGCTGAATGCAGAAAGTTAGGAAGTCCTGAAGGGTGGGGCAAGGAACTTCTATTGAGACTTAAGGAAACATGCCATGGTTTGGTAATTAAGGTGATCCTTGGTCAGGATGCCTGTTGATCTTTCAATTGCTGGACAATTGCATCGATATCTCTGGTTGTCGTATCTAACAACTTTGACCGACCATATATTTGGAAGTTTGTTGATGTTCCAATGTCAGCAAGAGACTGCACTCAATCTCTATCCTTGAAGGTAGAAACTTAAAAAAAAAAAATAGTCAGGTATCTTTTGGGAAATCAAGGAGGAGCTAGTTAGCCTAGGAAGAAAAAGGCAGGAGAAAGAATGTGTGAAGCACCTGGGAGGTCCCCCTGGCCCCCCAAAGGGGTTGTGCACTTGCCTGAGAGAGACAGAGAGACATAGAGAGAGGGAAGGTAAGAAATCACCCCCTAAGGGGTATGGCCACACTGCAATGCCTTCTCCCTTCTCCTCTCAGGATTTTGGACACATAGGCACACACATCCAGCGTGATTTTCAAGCCACCAGGTCCAGGACTCAAACTATGGCTCACCATGTGGGAATCCCAACGCCTGAACCATCATCCCGCTGGCCCCAAGGTCTGGGAGGTTTTTTTTTATTTGTTTTTTTCTTTTAGAGGTTTTTGCTATAGGGTGTGTGAGAGAAATCACCCCTCATGGGGATGGCCACACTACAATCCCTTCTCCTCCGTTGTCCTCTCAAAATCTTGGGCACGCACACACGCGCCCGGTGTGAGTTTTAAGCCACCGGGTCCGGGAGGTGAACCTCAGTCGACTACCTGAGAGACCAGCGACATAGTCATTACGCTAACTGCTGGTCCAGCGCCTGGGAGTTTTGATGAGCCTTCTTCATTAAGACATCAGTGAAGGGCCAGCAAATGGCTGGCAGTTACCTCCTGGACTCCCACATGGCCTACTTGTTCGAGTCCCACACCCAGTGACTTGAAAGTCACTCCTGGCAGTGTGCGTACCCAAGATCCTAAGAGGAGAATGGAGGAGAAGAGATTGAGGCTTGGCCATCTGCCCTGAAGGGTGATTTCTCATTTTCCCTGTCACTGCCTCAAAGTGAGAGAGAGCGAGCGAGCGAGCCAGCAAGCAGGCAGAACGAAAAGAAGAAAGACTGGCAGGCAGGCTGGCAGGCAGGCAGACATCAGTGAAGCACATTGACTCAACCCAATGCTAAGGAGACACTGAGACGTCGAGTTAACCCTTTAAATGTCATAAGGCGTTTGGGTGACTTTTAACCCCTTCATGGCGTGGGTTATCTAGCAGGCAGGTAACATAAAGTAATGAATGTATTCACAACCATCATGTCTAACGATACGACGTGTATTGAGGAACTATACAGAGTGTGACGGCGGACGCACGGGGTGTAGACGGAGCCGCAGAGCTGGGTCAGCTTAGCAGAGGGCCGCAGCAGGGAGCCCAGAGGCGGGCCCGCGCGGCTGCAGGGTCGCGGGTGAGGACGCGATTGGGACTCGGCCAGGCTGCGGAAGCGGGACCAGGCAAGCCCTGCGGCAGGAGGCGGGCATCGGCGGGTGGGGGGGAG